GGGGGTATTTTAATGATGAAAGGAAAAAGATAAAGGAAAGCATTCTTTGCAGGAAAGGGAGAAAAATTGAACAGAGAGAGTAGTGAAGCATGCGTTTAGAACAGAGCAAAAGGAAAATTTCCAGACACCTTTGTCCCCATGCATATGTCAATGTCATTGGAAGATGTGCACATTTTCTCATAACTGGAAAGGGGTTTCAATATTAGATTTTTAGATTGGAATTACTCACTTGAAACTGCTATCATAATGCATGTTTGTCTGGACAGACTCAAATGTTCAGCAAAATGAAGATCTACCAAATAATTCAGTCAATAAAGGTTTATGAAAAGGGAGAAAAAATCTATCTTTCTGGCTCTAAATGCATCATTTATTTAATTGGTAAAGAAAAAGCACAGGAAATGGCATTAAAATCAAAATAATGTACACCATTTCTTACCAGAAAGAACTAAGCAAAACTTCACTTTTCTTGATTATTCTTTCAGTAGTTGATTACTAAAAGCCTTCAGAATGAAGAAAGAAGAAATAACAAGAAAGCAAAGAATCAAGAAAAAGGCTTTAGCTTTTGAGAATTGAATGTTAGTGTGTGAATGAGTGAGTGAGTTTGAGGAGCTTACCAGCATTAAAAGCACTTTCCTTTTTTGAACGAGGAGAGCAACAGTAATTTTCAGTAGAGCAGTAGAATTTTATACCCAAGTTAGCTTAGGACAGATACTATAAAAATTTGAACTTTGAAATATTTGAAGTTTGAATTAAAGGTGGATAGAGAGAGGAAGAGGACAAGAGGGTAAATTTGAACGTTAAGAGTAAGGGGACACCAAAATAATACAACATTGTGTTATTGGGAAAATCTATCTGTAACAATGGCAAAGCTGACCTTTTCTCTTTTCACTTTTCTTGAACTGTCCTTTTGCTTCTTTTCAAACCACTTACCTTTCTTGATAATTGAATCTCTGTCTCTGTATCAGCATCTAAATTATGGATAATAGTGAAGAGCATTTGACCTTTGAATTTCACCTACTAATACCAAGAAGGGTAAAGTTGAAGGGAGCGCTTGGAGTAATAGTAAAGTTGTTTACGTGTAATTTATAGGTCAAAGGTCTAAACTGCAAAATCAATCATTAATGTTTATATTAGAATAGATTATTACATCACATCCTTAGGATACGGCCATTTCCCGAACCCTTAATAAGCACATAATATCTTATGCACTGAACTGTCTGTTACCAAGAACAAACAAGTATTGGACTTTGAACCATGTAACAAAGGAACCATGTGTCCCATTAGGTGTAACTTGTTGTAACTAGCTCCTTGACCACAGGCAATTTCCAAGAAACAGTTGAATACTAAATGAGTATATACTTTAGGCAATTTTTTAATGATCTTACTAAAGTAATTCCCAAAGATAACTTTTACTACTCTTTTAATTCAAATAGTAGAAATGATCTTGTCTATGACCCATATTAAAGAAAAAAGAAAAGAAAATGCATGCTCGTACTCCTTTTTCTTTTATTATTCAATCATACCTATAAATTTGTAACTTAGAGCAACAATTTCTTAATTAGGCAGAGTTTAGTACTAAAAAGCAATCTGTTTCTATGCGTGGTTCTCATTGTAGTCTTATTAAAAGGCAAATCTTTAAAGTCAATTAAGCTAATCATGCAGGTTTTGTTAAGATATTTTATGTTTGACTCTGGCTGTCCATCCATAATTAGAATCAATCGTAGACATAATCCAGCCATTAAGCAAGAAACCAGATAATTAACACTTTCCAACATTTGATAAAAGAAGAAACTTTTTGTCGTTAGCTTTTGATTTTATCCTATACCTGCAGCATGTTCTTATATACTAGTAGTTCATTTATGAGGGTCTCTTAGACATTCTGGATTTTCATGTATTATTTAGTGTAACAAATTCAAAACCAGGACCTTGAAAAGTCACTCAATCATCAATTAATCAAGTGGGTCTCATCATCATTTAAGGTCAAGGATTGGGACAACTGAAAATTTAGAGGTTGTTGAGATGGATTGGCCCATGATATTATGCATTCAGATCAAAAGAAGTAGATCGGCTTTAATATATGAAAAGAAACATTGCATGTGAGGTCTAAATGCATCCCAACTACTTCATGGAGCCAGATTGTTGCTGCATCAACATACCCACCACCCCAACTTTTTTTCAAAAAGAAAAAAGAAATTACATGCACTTAGTGTTTACAACATATAATACTCCATACTAAACTATGGCTAAATTATATGTATCTTTCATTTAAAATTGA